GCGTGTGTCCGATGCAGATTGATGGATAAACTTTAGGATGTTATGAATCCATCTGCTGAGCGATGTCATAGTTTATTTAAATTTTTAAAATTTGAAATAGGGGACACCATAAATTTTTCACTCGGAACTAATATAACTGAGACTTTCCGATGTCATATCGTCATGTCGCAGAACCATATTCGTATATTTTGGTACACTCTTCTGGTTTCATAGCATTGCACATATCTTGACAACGATGGATAGAGGCAATTATAACCGTTCAAGTATGTGAATAATTGTATCATACGTAAATTATATTGGTTGTAATTTATGTTGCAAGTGGATTTCCAACAAATTCAGGTGTGTACTTGAAAGTAATTGGGAACGGAGACGAGGGATTAAGTACGACAAAAGGCAGACAGTTGGCTTTTGTAGTGAACGCAATGAATAAGGTACATTCAGCTTTTGTATACTACAGCGCCAGTAATTGTATCCGGATTGGAGACAAAAGGCCTGGTGGACTCATGTATCTAACTGTAAAAGAGCCAAGGCATTCCGTCATAATGTACTTCAGCATGAGACAAACACTGTAATGGAAACAACTGACCCATGGTACGAGCTTGGTGCTTAGTTTATTAACATAATCTGTATATCCATTGAAAAATGACCATCTAACATAGCCGAGTATAATATTAATGTCGCAGAAAGTCAAAATTATTTATGTGCTCTCTGCATGAAGTGTAAGGAAAAACTCTTTTATGTTTCGCCGTATCTGCCTGTCCGCATGAGTCAAATCGGTAACCATGGTAACCAAGTCAACAAGCCTGGAAAGTGTCTTCCGTACCGGAGTACACAATTTCTTCATGAGTTCTTAGCAATTTCCATTTAGAAGTAATAATCTCCCTCACATAACCTAACCTTATATCCCCCCCCCCACAAATTATCCCAACTTAACCTTTGCTCCTAACCCAACCCAACCCAACACATCACAACCCTACATTTCGAAAACTAAGTTAATCTAACTTAACCATTCTTAACCTTACTCAAATTGTCCTTCGTCTGAATCAGACCTAAATTAGGGTAATCTCCGTCCTATATTTGGGCTTCATCCGAATATCCTTAACCACAAATGTAAATATCACAATCTTGGTTATAAGTCACGTCATGTTAAATTTAGTCAAAATCCGTTCAACCATCATTGTCGACCAAATACTTTTAACCGCGGCAAGTATTACAGCTAACCAAAGAATTATTATCATTGTCATGTTAACCAGCGTAACCATGGTACGTATTGCCTCTTATATTAAATTTTTTTACCATGGTAACCATGGTAAACAAATGTTCAAAAGTGCGACTTAGGGGTTTCTCCAATGGCACACCGTCCATATCTCCGTACCATGGACACCGGAGTGATTAAGGGGATGATGGGAGCCAAGGTCACCAAAAAATAGATGGTCATGAAAACCACTGTAACCTTGATAACCAATGTGAATATAGAAATTATTGCAACAAAGACAATGGTTGACAAGGTAACCATGTTATCGTATATGCAACACGGAGTTTTCCTCCGGGGGCTTCCCCGGTTTCTCCGTGGCATCCCAACAATTACTCCATTCACACACAGAAGAAGGCAATGGCAAACCACTTCTGGATCATCTGCCAAGAACGTATATGAACAGGACCCAGTCCGAGAAAAGGATGGAATGATCCTGTTCATATGGACCTGTCGTCAGAATTAAAAAAAATTTTAGCTATCGTGATCAACACACTTCATGACCTATTTAAAGTTGTCTATCTGACTGATATTCCCTGGGCATTCGCCTTCAGAAAAAGCCGTCGTGTTTCGTGCATCGGGTGGTTTCTTCAGAACAGAAAGAAGCCTGTAGTTGACTGTGACGGAACCATCAACAAATTTTCTGTGACACAGGAATATCTTTGCTGTATGACTGCACTGACATGTTTTCCTTTCGTAAATTCTTTGGCGCCATCTATCATATTCTGTGTCGTAAATATTTACTGAAAATTTTCCTTTCTGCTTGATTTCTCAACGAGTTTTCGATAACGTCTTGAGTTCATAAACTCTATTTTACACTCCATCGTAAATATCTAACATGTTATTAAATGTTTATATAAGATCCAGTCCTGGGCTGTTCTGAGCATGGTAATGTATCAGTGGGGAATTTATCTACTAGATAGAGTTAGATCCAAATATTCCAATAATGTTTCCAAATTATCGTCTGTCAAGAAATAACTTCACCAAAAATTTTCAGAACGTTCCCAGCACTCCCTTCTTAAGAATTCTTATTTTTAACATTGTGTAATTTTCTCAATTTATCTCTTAAGTTCTGAATTTGTTTCCTTCTATTTTGTTTTCAAATAAACCTGCTTGTAACTTACTTAGCCTTAGAGTCCGCGATTACAAGTTCTTTGCAACTACGAGGCTCGTCCACAAAGTAAGTTTCCCTGGGGCCGTTTACAGAAACAAAACACAATTTCATGGAAATATTTATTGCAACAGATACAGCAAGTGTCCAGCTATTTTTCAACAGATTCGCCACCGGAATTGAGACATTTGTCATACCGTGGGACCAACTTTGGAATCCCTGT